TATTTTCAATAAAATAATTATAATAATATTAAAATGAAACCAATCGTGAACTCTGTTTCGTTAAAAAAAAATTAAAACTGTAATTTGCTTCCTCTTCCAATTTGCAGACCCTTTTTCACTTCAATATCAGCATAATCACATTTTAATCTTTTTCTAAAGATTTAGTTAGAAGTCTTAGGAAGAATACACAAGGGTGGAATAACCTGTAAAGAGTGAGAAATTTTAAATTTGTGCCAACTGAAATTCTCCCTTGAGCAAATATTACTGTTGTAACAAACTAATAAATAAAAATGAAATCTGGGGCTTCCCTGGTGGCGCAGTGGTTGAGAGTCCGCCTGCCGATGCAGGGGACACAGTTCGTGCCCCGGTCTGGGAAGATCCCACATGCCCGCGGAGTGGCTGGGCCTGTGAGCCATGGTCGCTGAGCCTGCGCGTCCGGAGCCTGTGCTCAGCAATGGGAGAGGCCACCACAGTGAGGGGCCCGCGTACCAAAAAAAAAGGAATCTGTTGGCTAGAATCAATTCAGCAAGAAGTTGAAACTAAAGTTGCACAAGTGTTACAAAAGAGGCTAAACAATTTGAGCACTCTTATTTCCTCTTACCAATCATAGCTCTAGTATAAAACGAAATATCCACAATATCAACATCCATGTATGTTAAATATTTCTCATTAAATTTTCTGATAGGAAAACATCCTTGGAAATTTCAGCTAAGAATAGTAATGCAATACATTAAAGTAACTATAAAACCACTGGGAAAAGATCTAGTTTTGGCTGACTACAAATTTGGCCCAGAAAGGAGAGACTTTAAGAGCCTGATTGATTACAATTTCTGCCACAGCCAAGTGTCTACTGCGATAACCTACCGGTGGAAAATTACTTAATCACAATTCAAGTACAGAATGTTTCAGGTGTGTATGCTGTACTAGCAGGCACTAGATCATTTGAAGAAATTTTATTAAAATATTTACAACATATTGAGCTTCTGTTCGATCCATGGGAACCTAAATCACACTTAATATTGTCTCAGCACATACATTTACACTTCCAATCAAATATCCTTCCATAAAGTGAATACTGGCAATGTTTGACAGCATTTTTAAAATCTAAACATTCATTACTAAACGCTAAGGAAACAAGTTTTAAATGCTGGTTAAAAAAAAGTCAAATGACTAATATTAAGTATTAATACTAACCATGTGCCAGCCAATATTATTTATTTCTCTCACTAATCTTGGTATTCCTAGTATAGATCCAAGCATATAATATATATTTAATTGGCATTTATGAAAAAAGGAATGATTATTAAATTAAATTGTTTGAGAGGATTCAAAGATACTAAAAAAAAAAAAAAAAGCCCCAGCCATCAAGGAGGTTACAAATCGAATTAAGAAACATGACAAACACATGAAAAGCTAAATAATCCATAACAATTAAAAATACCACGTGGCAGGATTGTGATTATTTGCAAAGTCAGTGCAAAGAAGAGTGCTGTAAATTCTGACCAGAGTGAGAGTATGATGGACTGCGGTCCTTCCTGGTATCCCGACCAGACGGCGACACTACATTTCGATTAAAATAAGAAAGTGACACAGCACTGGTCCCACCCTAAAATCATCATCAGAGGAAGGAATACAATTACTAAAGATAATGGTGTAAAGAAACTTCCATACAAGGCTTTTAAAGCATATGGTAGCCCTGAAAAAAGTTTGAACATTCCACATACACAATCGTTTACTGGATCCCAGGACCTCTAAAGGCTCCTGAAATACGCTGTCCCTCAGGAAGAGCATCTCCTAGTTATCTCTTCCTCCGCCCCCCACGAAGCTTTCCACTGGACAGCCGCCCCAGAAATTTCTCCCAGCATCCGCAATGACATTACTTTCATCTCCCTCTCCCTCCCCTCGCCAGTATCAGACGGTGGCATCTCCCGCCAGAGGAAAAAACGCAGGGCGGGGGAGGCAGAACCGGGGAGAAAGCTTGCAGCTAGGTCGACTGATATGACAGAGGAGGAAGTGAGAACACGCGGGGGTCGAGGGCGGGGTCCCCTTAGTTCCAGCCCAGTCTCTACGAGCCCTGGCCAACAGCCCACTCCCCAAGGCACGCCCCTCGCCCGCCGGACCCGGACAGGGAGGTGGCGGACTCGAGTGACAGCCCCACCACCTGTGCCGCGCCCCCTTCCCCAGGCCCGCGGGGGACGCCTGCCCCTGCCCCACTAGCAGCGGCCCCTGGCTCTTTCTCTCTGGTTCCTGTGCACGTCGCCGATGAGTGACAGGTCCCGGGGGAGGCAATCGCCAGCGCTTGCCGTTCGGGACCGCTGGTGCAACCGTGCGCCGAAGCCCTCCAGCAGGCACAGGGGTATACGGAACGTTCCGGACGGCCCAGGGGATCCGATTCAGGCCTGGCCTTCCCCAGTTGCCCCACACCGGGCGGGGGTGGCACTTACTGCGGAGGTTGTGGATTAGCTCCGAGTGGCTGGCGCCGCCGGATTTCCAGGCCATCGCTAAGCACACCCGGAGCAGGTACAGAACCACCTTCAGCGCGGCGACAGTGCCCAGCAGCTTCCCCAAGAGTGAGACCACCTCCCACACGGTCACCGCCCCGCTTGCGTCCCCGCTGTAGCCGCCGCTGCTACTGTCGTCGCCGCCGCTGCCGCCACTGCGCGCTCCCGGCATCCCCCGCGGCACGCATGCGCTTAGTGACGCCGCGCGGACTCGGGTGCGGCCGGGTGGGGCAGGAGGCGGGGGTGGCCTCATGCGCTGTCGCCCGCGTGAGGGGCAGCTGCGGCCGCCCGGGAGTGGCGGGTTGGTCCCGCTGAGTCAGCGCCACCAACACCGCCACCTCTGAGTGGCCTTTCTGAGGCCTCGGGCTGCGCAACGCCTCCTTGCTGAGTTTGTCCTGTGGTCAGGCGGGGTGGGCCCTGGCGCGGTCGGTGGTGAGCCTCACTGCGGCTCTGGTCACTGAGCGCGGTGGCGGGATGGCAGGGCGGACCTCGTTCCGCTGCTGCCGGTGGCTTCGCAGTCTCAGATCAGCTGTTGAGAGCGGCGGGTCTGCTCCTATATCTGTCCAGATTGTTAGACGGTGGGCTTCCTTCGTCCTGCCTCACCCAACCCAATGAATGACTAATATTTAGGTCGGTTGGAGACAGAGGTCCCTATGGTGGAGCCTCGATAATCTTAATAGAACTGGAGGGCAAAGGTCTTCTCTAACCCGAGTACTCCAGCCTCTGGCTTGTGACAATTACGTTAGTGTTTCGTTAGCAGAGACTTTGGGACCCTGATTTGTTCTCAACTCTAAAGCACAAATTCAGAGAGTGGAAGAATACCGAGACCTGAGGTGGGGGGGTGGAGCGTGGGGAATCCTTTGCTCCTTAGGACAGCGCACTTGGTTAAAAATACTACAGTATCCTATGGCGAATGTGTTATTCGCCCAACACAAGTGTGCGTTTTCAGCTATTTAAGCCTCACAAATTCCACCGTTAGACTGGACACCAGGTTTGTTGCTATCAGCTGTGCAAGACATTGAGTGAGAAGCTGACAAGGAACATTGCCTGTAGCATCCAACTTGCTGACTCCTGATCAGAACTGAGACTGGAAGAATCCAGTCACATTTAGTCCAATACACTTTTAAGGAAGGAAACAAAGCTATGTCAAGACATCGATGCTACTGCGTCAGCAACAATTTTCGTATTCTAACCAGACCTTAGCAAATGTGGTATCTAGTCTACTTCCAATCCTAAATATACTTATATATTAACTATTTCCCTGTGTTCTGCGATAATAAATGAAACAGTATTCTTTACTTCAATATTGGGAATAAAATTGTCAGTTTGGGACTAATAATTTTCTATTTCATCTCTCTGCTGTTCCCTAATAGTCTTCCAGTTAAAAACAAAACAAAACGACACCAGTCAGTTTTCAATAAGAACCTGAAAACTCTCTAAAGCTGACCTAGATGGACTGCATTTCCATGAGGTGCTTCCATAAGCTGTGGCTAAGAAATAGGACTGCCAATATCAGTTAGAAACAAAATCATGGCCCCTTTTAAAGAAACAACCAACACAGTTATGAATATAGTATAAAGGAGTTTTTTTTTTTAAGATGAATAAGTCATACCTCTTGTATGTAATAAGATTTACATTCAAATTGGGGAGATTTGCATCAAAAGAAAATTAGCAACAGGGGGCAAAATATAAGTGCTATTAGTGGTCTAGATATTAAGGGACATGTTTATTTAGATCATCATGGGCTGGAGTAATAGGAAAAGATAGAGGAAAGAACGGGTGCTTGAAGGATGGGCAGGATTCTGAGAGGAATTTTTTTAAAAGCGGGGGAGGGTGTATCATAGGTCTAATCAAAAGCACGAAGGAACCTAAGGCTCTGATTCCTGAGCTGTCGACGTTACAATTAAAAATCATTCTTAATTATATACATAAATGAATTGAGGATGGTCACAGAGGCAATGGGAGTCCAAATTAGAACTGGGGTCCTCAGAATTGCAACCCCAGTTTCTGACAGTGTGTATTAACAACGTTGAAGAAAAGGATTTGTTTGGGGGACGGGGAGGGAGAGGTTTTGAATAACAAATTGGTACGTTGACGGACGTACTTCCAGGAGAATTTAAGAATTTTGAATATTTTCTATGCGCGGTGAAATGCAAGACAATGTTTAGGTGTGGCTACCAGGTCGTTTCTCTTGCATTGATTTTGTTTTGGTTTTGCTCTTAAATTTGTCTTACATTGCAAAGTTATTGCACAAATGTATTGTCTCGGTGTTTCTATATCGCTTGCAGATTAGGAGCAGGTCCTACAGCACAAGAACGGGAAACACCCTTGCCTGGGTTCAGAGCCTCCTGGGTCGGGCAGGGCGTCCCAGCTACCTCCCACTTGAGGGTTGGTGGTTCGTTCCCGCACTGCCTAGAGAGGAGAATTGGCTCTCTGCAGCCACCGTCCCTCGTACGGTCCGTTCCAATCAGGGCTCAGCGGGAAGGGGCGGGACTGAGTGGCGCGCTCTGTGCTTCTGGCTGTCCCTGGCCTGGTTGCTTTCGGCATGGAGGAAATTTATGCTAAGTTTGTGTCACAGAAAATCAGCAAGACCCGCTGGCGACCGGTACCTCCGGGGAGCCTGCAGACCGTGGAGACTTTCGCCACGGGCTCTTGGGACAATGAGGTACCCCCGCTCCCGGCCCGGGAGGCCCCTTCCTCCTCCTTCCCTCCTGGAACCGAGCCCCCGGCCGCCGGCGCGCGAACTCTCTCGTCTTCTGGCTCCTCTCTCCCTTTTCTGTCCCCCAAATGCACGTCTCAGGCTCGGTTGCCTTGTACCTCAGAGCCATTGATGGCCCCGTATCTCCTCTTTTTTAATGATTATCATTCCATTTGCTTGGGATGCTTTTAAAGCAAGGTTGATTGAAGGCAGTGCAAATTTTAATTTCGGAGAGTTTGACATATATTTCATCTCAAGATAAAATTTTCTGCTTTACAGGAAAATTATGTTTCACTGTGGTCTATTGGAGATTTTGGGAACTTGGACTCTGATGGAGGATTTGAAGGAGACCATCAGTTATTGTGTGATATCAGACATCATGGTGATGTAATGGATTTACAAGTAAGTCTGTGTAATATCCAAAAGCTAACTTTTAAAAAACTGAGAGTGATCTTTACACTTAGAGATGTAAAGGACCTTAAAGTTTGTCTAGTCTCACCCCAGGTTTACAAGAAACTGAGTTCCCTATAGGTTATGATTTGCCAACATCATATAGCTGCTTAATGGCAGAATCAGGACTGGGGAAGGGGATGTGGAATTAATCCTAGCTTGTTTGTTTGCCCAATTGACCATCTACTATCTGCCAAGCACCGTTTACATAAGTTAATTTCATTCTCGTCGCATGCTTGTTGAATCAAATACTGTTATCTCTGTCTTAATGAGAACACTGAGACTAAGATCTTTGGAGCATGTACTATGTGACAAATACTGTGCAAGGCACTTTACATGTTTTTGCTTTTTGAGTTCTCATAACAGCCTAGCAGGGATTAGTTCTCTGTTTTGCAAGTTTACCAAGGCTTAGAGAACTTAACTTGGCCAGGGTCTCAAAGCTGGTAGTAAGTGGTGGGAATGGAATTTTGACTCTCACATTTTATTTGCTTAGCATTTATAGCCTCTTTGCATTTTAAAATTGTTATACTACTAATTGAGTCAAACAAATGGCTTCCTCCCTGCTAATATTTATGAATCTATAACAAGCAAGAATTTTCTTAGTTTTTTGACCAGGAAAGAATTGTAGCTGCTTCATCAACAGGATGTGTAACAGTTTTCCTTCACCATCCGAATAACCAGGTAAAGAACTTTTGTTTGAAATCTCAATTTGCGTTTTAATTTTTTTTAGGAAGGTTTAAAGAAAACTGTACTTAATAATGACACAAATAATAAAGTTTTATAGTCTTAAAACGTGGAGGGGAAAAATCATTGTATTACCCATCTTTTAGTAGATTAATTCTAGAACCATGTTTGTGTGATCCTTCATTCAAATTGGGTATCTCTTATGTTCTCTTAGGTTAGATTTAACAATATGGTATTCTGGCAAGTATTTTTCCTGTAATTCTCTTTTAAGATCCTAGTCTGGTCTTTTGAAGAAAGAAAGAACACTTTCTAGCTCAAGCATCATGAGAGAGAACAGGAACAGCTACCTTGCTTCAGATAGAACCTAGGTTTCAATTGAAAGAGAGGATATACTATATGAAGGCTTGACATTTTTTACAATGCCTTTCTTGTGTGTGCCAAAGCCTGACTGCTGATCTTCAGAGCATAGTGGTAAGGGCAGTCCTTTAAAATAGGCCCACTTGAAGTAAAAGTTTTAAGTTGCTAGAAGAGAATGCTTACTTAGATTTGGGGATTAATCAAGGTCATCTTACTAATAGGCATGCCTAGTAAATACAAGAGCCAGGTCTAGTTAAATATTTTTCTTTTTTTTTTTTACTGTTTATTTCAGCAATGCTTTTATTTTTTATTTATTTCTTTTTTTGGCTGCGTTGGGTGTTTTGTTGCTGCGCGCGTGCTTTCTCTAGTTGCGGCGAGCGGGGGTTACTCTTTCGTTGTGGTGTGCAGGCTTCTCATTGCGGTGGCTTCTCTTGTTGCAGAGCACGGGCTCCAGGTGCACAGGCTTCAGTAGCTGCAGCACACGGGTTCAGTAGTTGTGGCTCTCGGGCTCTAGAGCGCAGAGTCAGTAGTTGTGGCGCACGGGCTTAGTAGCTCCGCGGCATGTGGGATCTTCCCAGACCAGGGCTCGAACCCGTGTCCTCTGCATTGGCAGGTGGATTCTTAACCACTGTGCCACCAGGGAAGTCTTAACTATTTTTCTTAATGGAGTCATTTGGAAAGCACTACAGAGATTTTCTCTTAAATGTAGGCCAGCCCCCTTAAGAATTTAGAGCTGCCTTTGAACACATAATTACCTGATACCTAAAAACCATTTCTTTAGTTTGAGATAAGTTTGGGATGTTATTAAAAAGCGTTTCTTTTGAATCTAATCCAGTATATACAGAGCTTTAATGGAAGTAGTTTCTAGACCTTAATGCTTGGAAATACAAAGGGAAGAGAGTTACTATGTTTCTAGAAAGGTGTGAGACACAGTTTTAGTTGGGGAAAGCTCTAGTTTTTTGGAGCTTTGCTTTGATTAATCATAGCCTCATTTGTGACATGTAGACTCTGTCAGTCAGCCAGCAGTGGACAAGAGCTCATTACCACACGGGTCCAGGCAGTCCTTCCTGCAGCAGTGCACCATGCACAGGTGTTGTGTGCAGCAACCCAGAAATTGTCACAGTTGGAGAAGATGGTCGAATAAATCTCTTCAGAGCTGATCACAAGGAAGCTATAAGAACTATAGGTAAGAAAAATCCTATTTCTTTGGTCTATTGCATAGTAATTGAGCAGCTACCATGTGCTAAGTAAATGCAATGCTAGGTGTGTGAGGGATTTAAAAATATACAAAGCAGGATCCCTTTATCAAGACAGTATGTTGATAAGGCCTGTATGAAGGAGTGACTAGAAGAAAAAGAAATTTGTGGAGAGGAGAGCCAGAGGGGATTAACAGATAAAGAATTGAGGGGCAGGTGGCAATCCATTTAATCTAGGTTCCAAACCATAAATAATACTAAAAGGTGGCACACCAGATAAAGGGAACAGCATGGAGGCAGGGTAAGACCATTCAGAGAATGACAGAAAGTGTAGTTTGACCTGACTTTAGATATTTGTATAGGAGAAGTAAGAAATGAAACAAGAAAGGTAAATTGTGGTCAGGTTGTGAAGAATCTAATGCACAGCTGTAGAGGTTACGTTTTGTTAGGTGGGCAACTACGGAGCCATTGAAAGTTTTTGAGCAAAGGGGTGATGTACCCCATGTCATGCTTTAGAAGGATTATTCCAGTGTAGTAGTTCTCAACCATACTTTGCACAGACTTGCCTGAGGAGATTTTTAACAGGCCATCACCGTAGACTTCCTAAATCAGAACGTCTGGATTGAGCCCATGAATCAGTTTTTTGTGTTGTTAACATTTTTAGTTCTGAGGAACACTATTTGTTTAGCTTTTAGGGACCACTGCCTAGTGGCAGTTTGGAGGAGGGTCACAAAACAATTTAAGTGTATAGTAAATTAAGTGGTATAAGTTTAAACACACTATGAAAAGGAAAAGGACAGTTAAAGCAATCAGGAAGGACTTCATGGAGGAGAAGAGAGCTGATGAGGATAAAGATGTATAGATTTGAGATAAGTCAGCGGAATAATATAGGTCAGAATGAGCTCTGTAGGAAGCAATGGCGTTTGGCTCAATAGAATGGAGGTTCTGTGTTAAGCAGTAGAGGGAAGTAAAGTTGGATATAAAGGAACCTGAACAGCTGTCTCAGAAATGGAGGGTAACAACCTAAAGTGGAAATAGAGAAATAAGTGAAAACTTAGCCCTCCTTTTGGAAAACAGTTCAGATGTCCTGTGAGTGATACAATTTTTCTATTAAAGGAGAGTCCATTTTAACGTGTATATTATTGCATTTTTCTATAGAAATTAAACTGTGACTTATTTAAAATTTCATTTGTAATATTTCAATCAGTGGAGGGAATGCAATTTAAAATTTTCATGGAAAAGGGGGGCCTGTTAACACACAATGCTGTTTTCTTCATTTGCAGACAATGCAGATAGCAGTACACTCCATGCTGTAACCTTCCTTCGAACTCCTGAGATTCTTACAGTAAATTCAATTGGACAGTTAAAAATATGGGATTTTAGACAACAAGGAAATGAGCCCTCTCAGATATTATCACTGTAAGTTTTGATTTGTAATTTCAGTAGTGTAAAGCAAATTTGTTTGACTGTTTATAGCAACTGACTTTAAACCATATTGTATTTTAATCGCATGCTAAGAGAATAATCTCTGACTAAATTTGATAAAGCAAATACAGTTGACCCTTGAACAATGTAGGGGGTTAGAGTCACTGACCCTCTATACACTCGAAAATCCCTGTATAACTTATAGTCAGCCCTCAATATACGTGGAATCCTCTGTATCAGAGGTTCCACATCTGCAGATTCAACCAGCCTCAGATCATGTAGCACTGTATATTTACTGTGGAAAAGTATTCATATGTAAGTGGATCCCTGTTGTTCAAGGGTCAGCTGTATGGTTGGATGGGCTTGATATTACCATGCTGCGTTTGGTAAATATTTGTTGTATTGATTCAGAAGTTTATATTAATCTCTTTGAAGTTTATGTTATTTAATGGGGAACTTCTTTTTGCTCATCAAATGATTCTATTAATAGTGGGAATATTCTATTAATATATTAATAGAATATTCTGTTCTACTAATAATACACTCTAGATGTGACTGGGAGAAAAATATAATCCAAGGTATTTTTTTGAGCAGAAATCCCCTTTCTATGTGTGCAATCTTCTTTTCTCTAATTAGAAAATAGCATGTGTCAAGCTGGAAAAAAAGTTATATAAACTAAGCATTAAATAAGGTAGAGTAGAAGTAAGGAATATGCTGTTTAGTTGATATATAATGTTTTTAAAAAGCCAAGAAATGGAAATGTTTTGCATATCTTACCATCAAATTATCTTGTTCCTTATGTGTCCAAATTGAAGAGAGAATGAATAACTCTGGCCTTTAACTCCCCCTCAGAAATTTTAATATTTAGAGATATATTTAACGTAGTCAGTTTTTTGACATGATTTAAGTTTAGCCAGTAGCTCCAGCCACAAAATTATCGTTTCGTTACTGGAAAGAAACAGGTTTCATAGGTTATTCAAAGATAAATTATACTTTACAACTGTGTGAAGTCATTGTATCTCCCATTAAAGGACTGGTGACCGAGTGCCACTCCACTGTGTTGATAGACATCCCAACCAGCAGCATGTTGTAGCTACCGGTGGTCAGGATGGAATGTTAAGTATTTGGGATGTTAGACAAGGTACAATGCCCGTGTCTCTACTGAAGGCTCATGAAGCTGAAAGTAAGTATTGTGGTGATACATAAGTTTTTGGTGTGTGAGCTATACAATGTATTATAAGCAGCTTTCCATAATGATACCTATGGATCATTCTACAGCAGAGTTTTTGACTGAATTGTATAAATTTATAATAATTAACTAATCCCTTTTTATTTGAAATTTACGTTCTTTAACATGTTTGATTATTATACACAAAACCGTAGTGATTATCCTTACATATTCATCTTTATGTGCTTCTTTTCTTAGGATAGTTTTTTAGAAATAGAATTGATGAGTCCAAAAGTTTGCATAATTTTAAAGCTGTGATTCATGTTGTCAAATTGTTCTACATAAAAATAATACGAGTTTATATTGCCACACCAGTATGTGAGAATGCACTTTTCCCATGCAAATGCAGGCTGTTATTTTTTATATTTGCTAATCTGTGTGTTCTTCAATTTATTATTGTACCTTTTTCTTTTTTTCTTTTAACAAGAACAAAAGATATAGGCTCTTGCCTTGTTTTTAATGTTTGTCATTTGATTTTGGTGGAGATTTTTTGGCTGAACAGAAATTTTTCATTTTATCACCACGTCAGGGTGGATTATAGTTTTAAATTCTGACTTAAGAGAAGTTGGTATTAATGCTTCAATAAAACTATAGAAGAGCAAACCTTATACCAGTATTGCAACTTCTAAGTTTGTTTCACATTATTAATACTTTGGAAAGATAAATAATTTTTAAGATTATATTTAAGAAGCAAATAGAAACTTTTTCCCTCTTCCAGGTATGGCTATGTCCAGGTAAAAAGAATAAAAAGGAATAGGTGTGCCCTTAGAGCCTGTTGTTGCTAACCTAGTGGTAGTTAGAATTACAAACTTTCAGATATCTTCTCACCAGCCCATTTTTAAACGCCAGCCTGTATTGTTCAACAAAACACACAAGTGTAGTGGCTTGTAGTGTATTTTGAATTCATCTTGACTCTTGGCTAGAAATAAGATGTTTTATAGACGTTTGTTTTCTAATTTGAAAGTATATAAATACATAAGAATCTAGATTTGGGCAGTCTGCTAATGGCTGTATAGGCTGTTTTGTTTTACTTTGTTTTAATGAAACAGTACGAATGTACTTTACACAGGGACTCACCAGCACACATTCCTTTCCGGAGGAAGGTGACCTTTTTGTTTTCCGGTGTGTTTAATTGTGGTAACTGTCAGAATGAAAATGCCAGCTTGCAGACATGTGCCTTGCACTTTTTATGCTACACTCTGAGCACTTTCTATGCTGCCTCTCAAGGTTACCTAACCCAGAATCACGAAACCCTTGTTCACAGACTACTGTTTTACCTTCATGCTGCAGCTGTCTTCCTAAGACGTCCTGGGCAGTCCTTGGCTCCCAGATACCTATTGGCACACAAAGTTCCCTTAAAGTTTAGAGCTTGAGGAGTCCCCAGTCCCAAGCTGGCTTCTTAAGTCTTTCATTTGAAACCGGATCCAGATTTTTGGAGCATTTCCAGGTTTTGGTTTGCTGGGAGCTAGTTGCTATTTCTGTGATACAGGCCAGAAGAATCCAGAGTCTTGGCATGAGCCAAAATTGGACTATGTCTCTTAGAAATTCATTTGTATTCTACTTTTATGGTCTTCTCTCTCTTTCCAATAATATAACCTTCATGTGTTAATGACACAGGAATTGAAAATAAGAGAACTTAACAATTTTCAAAAAATCTTTTCAGAATTATTCCATTGTCATACTTTTCCATAAAAAAATTGTAATAGGTCAAATGACTAGCATTTATTTTCATTCATTTGCTGGCCCAATACACAAGTAGATTTACTTGACTTCTTTATCTTATCTACATGTTTTAGCCATTTGGAGAGTTATGTCTTTTCTTTGATCCTGAAGCCTTTGATTTTTATCACAGGCTTGGAGTTTGAAGGTGTGTGATGGAGGTTAATGGAAGGTGATGCCTAGAGACAGGGTTTTGATGTTTGTTCAACTAATCTACACAAGAATAAGCTTCTTGGTTGTTATCTTTTAGTGTGGGAAGTTCACTTTCACCCATCCAACCCAGATCATCTATTTACTTGTTCTGAAGATGGATCTCTCTGGCATTGGGATGCCTCCACAGATGTACCTGAGAAATCATCACTCTTTCACCAAGGTAAAAAATTTTAATGAAGATTCTTGTGTGTAATTTTATTATATTTTTAAATACCAAATTAGAAATTCTCATATTTTTAACATTAAGGAATGACAAAATGTTTCCATTCTCTGGCTTCAGGGTAAATTCTAGTATCACAGGGCTTGAAATCTGACTGTCAGCTACTGACCACTGTACTGCTGATGACTAGAAATGCTGTTAGCTGGCTAACTTCGGACAGCCAGGGGTCTTGTTTGTGAGTACATTGTTGTGGGGCCCTCATGCCATAGGATAGGCACTGACAGCTCTCTTATACTACATTGTCAAGGGTGTATGGCAAGACCAAAGTTGATCTTTTATGTATTAAGGTACTGGTTTCTCCTCAGACTAAAAGGCCCTGTCTCCTGAATAAAGACAGAGGTAAGTAAAGGTCAGCCAGAAACTATACACTTAAAATCAAGAGGTATTTTTTTTCTGTTTTTTTGCATTTTCTAACCTTCTTGTTTTTAAGTTTGTCTGTGGTTCCAAAGTTTATTTGTTCATTCATTCAGCAAATGTTTATCAAGTGCCTACCACGTGCTAGGCACTCTTCTAGGTGTTAGAGCCCATGACAGTGAGCAGAAAAGCCTCGAGGCTCATAGAGCAAATATTCCAGTAGACAGTAAGTAAGATAGATAATGTCTCAGTAAAAGTCCCTGCAGAAAAACAGAAACTACCCTGGATTTAGAAGGAATCGGTTTCACGTGTGTTAGAAGGGCTAGAAGAACAAAAGGGACTGGGAGGGATGCTGGAAGAGCAAATAGCAAAAAAAGAGGAATGCCAGAAATCAACAGTTGTTAATACCTCTGCTGTACAGTTGGAAGTGCTGTCCAAGTTGGTTCTGGATCAGCAGAAAAGGTGCCACCTCAGCCGGGGCTGGAATTACAGCCTGTGTTGTCGTTGCCAGGAACCTGGAGCCTTTTCCTTCCCCCACCCGACCCCGTCTGCCTTCCAGTCACACACAGTAGTGCCTCTCATGGGCAGGGTCTGCCTGGAAGGCAGATGGCAAGGGAGCCGGGAAAAAGGAGTTTGTCCCTGCAAGACATAGTAGAGCACAGCAAAGTAGGAAAGGAGACAGCAAGAAGGAAAAGATCTGGACCAAATACCCTGATGCCTATGAATAAGAGTGAAGAGAACAGGAGGATGAAGAATTAGTGGAGGAGGGGCCACTTGGCAGGGAGAACATTTGAGCAGAGACCTGAGGAAGTGGAGGTACGAGTCACAGGAATGCGTGCCAGGTGGAGGAAACAGCCAATTCCAAGGGCCTGAGACAGAACAGCAAGGAGGCCAGTGTGGCTGCAGTTCAGCAGGCCGGGAGTGTGCGGAGGTGGCAGGAGCTGCGGAGGACTCTGCAGACAGGGATGAGGGCTTCAGGTTCTCTTCTGAATGTGACAGAAAGCCACTGGAGAATTTTGAGCAGGGGAGTGGGGTGATCTGTCTTACGTTTCCAAAGAATCACTTAGGCGACTGTGTAGAAAATAGACTGGGGAGAGGGATGGAAAAAGCAGAAGCACGGAGACCAGGGAGGAGACTTAGCACAGTGGTTCTAATGTTAATTTTCACAGTATTCAAGAGTAATATAAAATATAGGAGCAGTAAAAGGTAAACAAAAACGAAGACGGAAAAAGTGTCGCATGTGTAGAGCACGCAGCACGTCTATGCTAATAACTTCATGTATGGAGAAACTAAGAATATTATTAGTTTCTAATAAATAATAAGGATTAGCTAAGCACTTGGTTTTTTATTTCTTCTTCCCCTACCCCCACTATCTTGCATTTGAGATTTTACTGTTTGAAGAACCTTGGTTAGACTGGAAAGAGCCATTTACTATATTCTGTGCCTAGTATCGCAAGGAACAATATTAGACACTGTGAAAAGGTAAAATAAATATAATCTATACAACCTGCCCTTAAGAAATACTTAATTTAGTTATGGAGAAGGGGGCATGCAAAGTTAAATCATATAAGAAATGTTATAAGGTAGTAAGTTATTAGTGGTGCGTATAAGTGCTGAGGGTTCCAGGAAGGAAAAGAGAAGCATGAACTAGAGTCATCTTCAAAGGCTTCTTAGAGAAGGAAGTTGAGCTGGGCTTTAAGAATCAGCAAGATTTAAACTCACTAATCTTTAAGCTTCAAGATATGAGGGACTTTGCCTTGTATTCCCAGCACTTAGCACACCGCCTGGCATATAGTAGGTACTCAGCCATTTATTGAGTAAATGAAATCTGTCTTTATTTGATCTGGCAGAAAGTTGAAAGGAAAGAAAATTTCAAATGAAGGCTAAAACTGAAATATACTGCTTCTGCCCCACTTAATCCTGCATTAAATGAAGAGCACTGTCAGACATAAAAGTTTATAATCTGGTAGTGTTCTTAAATTGTACGTTTAAGAACATTTACCTGAAATAAAGGCGAAGAATAAAAGGAGATCTAAAGCAAGTTGATTATATTTTTAGACATATAGAAATAAATATATTTTTAGAAATATTCATGTAGAAATACATCCAGAAATTTTCATTTTTTGATTATCTAAGAACTTAGATTTCCATATATTATCTACATTTATTCTACTTGTCTTCTAGGCATTTTGGTACATTTCTGAGACTTTCCATTAAAGAATAAACAGGAAGACAGGGTCTAAATGAATCTTGTGCTTTGCTGAAGATTTCAAGTTTGATAGCCATATTATCCCATGGAAATTTGAGTATGTAATATCACTGAGTAAGCCTTTAGTCAAAAATGGTGATGTGTTATAATGGAATTATCAGCCAGTTATTCTTGAGAATTACAAACAATATATATCATCGCCTTTTTTAAGTATTAGAATTTCAGATGTTTACTAGTATAAAATTAGTCTTGAAAGAAGTTTTCACCTTTTCTTTTCCCAGGAGGAAGAAATAGTACTTTTTTGTCTCATAGCATTAGTAACCAAGCTAATGTTCATCAATCTCTTATAAGCTCCTGGCTCATCACTGACCCTGCCAAAGACCGTATTGAAATCACAAGCTTGCTTCCCAACAGGACTTTGTCTGTGAACAGTTTGGATGTTTTAGGTCCTTGTCTTGTTTGTGGAACCGATGCAGAAGCAATTTATGTTACTAGACAACTTTTTTCATGAAGATACTAAAAGATTTCATGTAAAACATAGTTATAGCCTTTCAAATTCCAGCTTCTCTGTGCAAATTTTTATTATTGGAAAATGTGAAATTTGCAGGGGAAGCATCCATAAACTATTGTTAATTTTGATGCCCAGTTTCAGCTTTTGTTAGTTGAATATTCTTCTAATAGTTAGTATCTAGAGTCTGATTAATGACTGATGGCAAAAGAATTGGACCGTGTGGAAGAACATCAGAGGGATCCTTGTGCTGATAAATGCACTGCCTTCAGCACAATTCTGGACAGCTCATGGAACCAACTCTTCATTGTTGATGTTGCAGGCCTCAAAAATGTCAAACCACCAATGGGTTCCTATCCTTTTTATCAACGGTGTGTGGGGTATACCCCTCCCTGGTGGCCTTAGCTAGTATTTATTCTTTTTTACTACAAGTATTTTCTTCAGTTCTTCCACATTTTATTTACTTAATAATTTTTGTAAACTTTTTTCAGAAAGAATTGAGAACAAAAATGGCAAAATTTTTGTAGTGTTCAAATTTTTTTAAAGGTAAAAATGTTTTGACAGTTTCCTTTACTAGAATGGGTTTGAACAGAACTCCGTCAGCTCCTTAGACCCAACTTTATTTCTCTTGAAAAGAAAAAAAAGACAAGTACATTTTTCCTAAGGATTTTTGCTTTTATTTAGTTTTACAACATAGTTGAAAATTGCTGAATTGGACATTGTGCAATAAAATAGGATTTGACATTGATAAATGAGCTGACTTACAAAAGAATTTGATAGGTAACATGCAGAGACTAGTATGATGATGTGGTAGGAGTACAGAGTTTTGCCATCTTTATCTTTAATGTTAATGATGACCTAACATGCAGTGTTTTAAGACAATTTTATGATATTGTCTTTCTAAAGTTTGTTAGATTAAATGCATTATTGAACTGTTAAGACCTTAATGACAAATCACTCCTATTACACAATTGAAGTGTATGTTTATTTACTTTACAATTCCAACAATAATTACTATGAAGTTTTGTCTTTCTGTCCCAATAAATATTTGCAGTTTTTTTATGCCACCTTACCTCAGGGTTTTTTGTTAACATTTTAAAATGGAATACATATATGCATCTGCTGTTTTATATATATTTGGCTCAAAAATATTTGACTTAATGGACTTGCCTCGCGGTCCAGTGATTAATGCAGGGGGCACAGGTTCGATCCCTGGTCGGGGAACTAAGATCCCACATGCTACACAGCACAGCCTAAAAAAAAAAAAAAAAAAAAAAAAATCGACTGAAGAGAATTAGTAACTTTGAATTCCAAAGAATCAGAGAAGGAAAGAAAATGTAGCTGATAGGAATTCTTAATCTGTTTATAGTTTTATTGCTGGGGCTAATTTTTAAAACTTTCTGTTATTACAAAAGTCATTCATTGTAGAAAAGACAGTCAAAAGAAAATTGTAAGTACTTAATCTCAAAGAGAGACAATTCTTTTCACACTGTCTTCTATCCATCAATGTATATAGTTTTTCTGTAAAAGAAATGAAATATACATGTTATATTTGTAGATGCACATTCTCTAGCAGTCAACACATGAATTCAATAATAAAAATATAGCTAAGAATTTTCCTCTGACTTTGTATTTCCCTTTGTATGAATGTCTTGCTGCAGCCTAAGCTACAGTGTCCCTCTCTTCATCAGGTACAGGCATCCTCCCATTCTACTCGGCAGGCTAACATCTTTGCTTTGAATGGCCCAGAGTTGATCTCATCACTGGAAGACCCTAGCTCCCAGGTGGCACATTTTCCGTGTACAGTGAATGGCAAACTTGTTGTGCCTCTGCTTCGATCCGTATTATCTGCTGCTGAAAAGTTTGAAGGTTACATGTACGTTGTTAGCACCCTTCTCAGTTTCCAGCAGCAATGTATACAATTTCCCTTGATCACTACAGTAAGTAATTGGTAGGGGGGGGAACCAGACATACAGGCTTAGCATACTAGCTTGGAATGGAAACAAGTTTGAAGTTTGAAGCTTTGATTTGATTTAAGGGTATTTGTAACCATAAGTAGAAGGAAGTACATTTGAATAGTGTTACATTTTCTATCAATTGAAGAGTTCTGCCAGACTTAATAAGAAACATAAGAAACTTCTCTATCCTTATTGATAAATAAAACCCTAATTTATGAATTTGTTAATTCTCACTGCTTTTATTCATGAAACTATCAAATAAAATTTCTTTTGAGGGCTGTAGGATCTCAGAGGTGAAAGATATCTTGGAGGGCATCTCCATACTAAATTTAATCAACACTTCCACAGCACCCCCAACAAATTATCATCCAACCTCTACTTGAAAATATACCATGATAAAGTTTCCCGTTTCCCAATGTAGCCTCCTTGTTTGGATAGGATCCAAAACAATCCTATAAAAAAAGAATCATTATTGTGGGTTAATGAAATGATCATGTGAACCTATGAGATGGAACCAAACACCATTTTATCGAATTTGCATTCTGTTGGGGTGCTTTACTATAAGGTTCAACTAAATAAATGAATTTTCACATACTGAACTGAAACTTGCTTCCATTTGTCTTCTTTTCTCAGGAGCCACAAAAAACAAATTTAATTCTTTTCATCATATATTCAAATGTTCAGAACTACGTATTGTAGCTTCTTTGGGGTAAACTTAAAATCCCTTCAATGGTTTCTTGTGGGCAAGGTTCCCTTCCCCACCTTTCTTGCCCTTCTTGGCTAAATCCTGCATACCTTTCCGGACTCCTCTTAGGTGTCATTTTCTCAAGAAAGTTCTCCCTGGCCTCTGACAATCTGGGCTAAATTGTACTCGGCATCAAAAGCCCATTGTGCAGAGCTTATATTGTGCTTACAGCCATTTGCTAAGCAGCCTGTCTCCCTCTACTGGACCACAAGTTCAAGAACAGGGCCCATGTCTTAGTGTTGTATGAACAATGTTTAACACAGTATCTGATACATAGTAAGCCCTGAATTAGCCTGAATTGAACTAAACTCACAATTTTGTTTTCCCTTTTAAAAATAAAGGCCATCATTAAAGTGTGACTTCCAAAATGAATACTTTTCCAGTGGTGTCTGCCTTGCTGAGAGTATGACAGAAATCTGCCATCCTGGTTCTGGGTACAATATTCCTTTGTAATGCTGTCTCAGCTTATTTTACCTATTCTGATATTTGTTCAGTTGACTGCTGACTAGTTTAACTTAAACCCTTAATTTTCACACCTGATACTCCCTAAACCATACCTCCCTATTCTTGAGGTAATGCCGATGACTGTGATTCTTACTATATAGGTCCATCCTTCCTGTTTAAGAAGACAAATTTTCTTTCACTTTAGGAAAGAGCTAACAATCACCTTTGAATCTTTTCTGCAGAAGCTGATCGTTTTCAGAATTGCCCAGCGTGCTCTCTACACCCTCATCCCATTGGTAAGGAGATAGGTTAAATGGACTTAGGCCCACCTCCCAATTATCAGTGACATATGAATCATTGATATTTGGCTACAGTTGTTGAAATATTTATAAACCAACCTAACTTATTGACATTCTGCCACATTTATCTTGTTCATAAGGCTATGTGAGAAAACACCTGTGCTACAGCTATCATCCTATCAAAATCTTGGCATAATTGAAAAATTCCTTGTCCTTTGTGAATAACACTTCTATTTCACAGTACTGTGGAAACATCCTTTTAATAATCCATTTTAGAATCTTGTCTAAGAAGCATACTAAGTTCATGAGTGTATAGTTTATATCAAGCCTTCATTTAAACTTATGGTATCAATATGATATCTAGCTCAGACTAATTAGATGGTCTGAAGCAGTAGCAGTGCTCTTGTTTTACAGATAATGTAACCTGGGGAGAGCCAAACTATGATATGCAACTATTTAAACTATTTCATTGGTATCATTCTGAACCACAATTAATGTTAAGTGGCAACAAAGAATAATTAAATAACAGCCTAGACTACAGTCATCTTAGCATCAAAACAATTACAGCATTTCACTATATTAGTAGAGGGAGAAAACCACAAAGGGGGTGGGGGTGAGAGAAGTAGAATGACTAGAATCTAGCTGATGAGGTAATAAACTTTAATTAATTAAAAATAAACTAATGGTCAATTCCAAACTATCATGACTAACTGGACTTTGGGGGAACAGTAGTTGACAGACCAGCCTAACATAGCCATCAGACATGCATCAACTGTCAAAACAATTTTTGTACAGACCATGGTTATAAGAAGCTAAATTGTAATTAATACTAGACTGTAAAATACTAGCTGCAACAAATCAAAACACAGACCTTACTCCTGCATAGTATGGAATCAACTTATTAGCCAGAGAGATCCTACAAGCAAGGATTCCCCAGTAGCAATGAGCACACCAAGAACCCAGATTTGGTTTCTAATACCATTCTCCAGTAAAAGGAACCAAGGCTCCTTGGAGGGGCAGGAAATAAACCAGATAGTTTGGAGCATTTTGTAGTCCCAGAAAGGAAGACAGTTAAGAAAAAAAAAAAAAAAAAACAACGATAGGAGTATGTTATAGGGACACAGAAGCTAACTGGAAGAGCTCCAATAGCCAAAGCTGGAACAATTTGATCAAAAACAAGAAATACCCAAACTATTAAATAAATATCCATGAGTCCACATTGATAAGAATAAGTGTTTGAAAAAAATGGATGAGAGACAAATCTGCTCAGAATTCCAAATAATTTGTGTAGATTCTTCACTCCCAAGGAGGTGGAACACAATTCACTCCTAAGTGTGGGCTGCTCATAGTTGAGAGCCTTCCCCTAAGACAGTGTGAATTCCTGGGAGAGCCTGTGTTCTCAGGACCACAGTGCTCTCCCAACTTTTTCCATGTGTGCTGCCTCTGTTCCTACAGTCATCCAAGCATGAGACTTGCCCCTTACATCTGTTGATTAAAAACAAAATGAGACAACCTACTATACATAAAATAGATAAGCAACAAGGATTTGCGGTACAGCACATGGAACTACATTCAGTCTCTTGTAATAACCTATAATGGAAAATAATATGAAAAATACATATATTTAGAACTGATTCACTTTGCTGTATACCTGAAGCTAACACAGTATTGTAACTCAACTATACTTACAAAACAAAAACCACACAACTACAACAAAATCAAAATATCCCTCTTCCATGAAGCACTGAAGAGTTGAACAGGCTGAAGCTGGACCAACGGTTTTCCATCACAGCAACACGAAGACCTCCAAACACAATGGCAGGTATTGCCATTCTCAGACATCAGCACCCTTAGTAGGCATTTTCCTGGTCTTTCACCTCCACCCACTCCCAGTCTCAGCCACGTTTCATCCTGTTGGTTGGTTCTTCTATCCTGAACATTCCTTCTCTCCTTTCCCTGCTCTTTTCTCCCCCTACTTCACAGGAGTAAACCTCTTAATATATAGAGCCATTCACTGAGGTCCTTGAATTATCTAGGAATTCTCCTAAAGACAGTAGTTTTTGGAGATGCCCATCTTTAGGTTTAGAGAGATGAAGAGCTTAAATAAAGAAGTTCTGAGGGTTGGTGACAGAGGTGGCAAGGTTTAGGCGGCAGTCTGCTCTTCCAGATACATAATCCATCTACAAAGGACAAGCAGGCCTGTGAACATATTAGATTCATATAATTCATATTAATTTTGAGGCTGAAAGATACCCTGCAGGTTACTTAGTTCTCCAGCTGAAGAAAGTAAGACCTAGAGCTATTAAGTCAGCCACTTTGGGCCATGTCTTCTACAGAATCTGTGATTGTGGAATACAGATTTTCAACCAAGTGCTCGTGGAATGTAATCTTTTAACAGGTTTTCACATTTGAACTTCTGGATACAGTAGCCAGCAACTAATTCAACATCAGAAAAAAGTCTTAAAAAAATTGTCTCTAGTAAAAAAGGATGAGATATTTGAAAATACTAAGTGTATATATTTTCTAGAGGCAGAATTGGCAAAGGCGCTCTTTACAATGGGTGGGCGGTACCTTTAAACATCATACAACCATTGATCCCATCCCAAACTTCTAATTCAATCTAACAAGAAATAAAACCTCTTCTCGCAGTTACCATTATCCCAATTACGGCAATAACGACTTCCTCTTCTACCGAGTCGGCTGACATTAAAAATCTCTAAACTCCCTAATCTGTCCTGGTTCGAGAATATATTAATCTGGCTGATTCAGAAAATACTTACGGATTTACTCGGGGAAAGAGTGCTAAGCAAATATCAATTTATTTCAAAGCGTCTAGAAATCCCGAATCCCGATGTCCACAGCGAGGTTCTGAGAATTAAACTCCTCCAGATGCGCATCTTTTATCCTATATTCGTCCATAGAAAGAGTTCAACTGAAAAGAGATAGACAATGAAATAAATGAGTGGGCTTAGGATGGAGGGAACCTGACGCCACCAGCCGGGGCGAGTCACCTGAGCAGCGCAAGGCAGGGGCGACGCTCGCAGACACACAGAGAAACGGGCGACTACGGAAAGCGGGAGGCCGCAGGCGGCGTGCTCACTCCCCGTCGCCGGGCGGGCCGAAGCCCCCAGTCCTCGGCCCCCGCGCAAGCGACGCCGGGAAATGCCCACATCCGGGAAACCTGCAGCGGAGTGCGGCGGCGACACCGAGTGGAAGGCAAAATGGCGGCGGCGGCGGCGGCGGCCTGGTGCTAAGGGGAGAGCCAGGTCCCCGCGACCCCCGCGACGGGCCGCGCTGGCCCGCGACAGTCCCCCGGCGTCTCTGCCCGCCCTGCCCCACCGGGGATACTTGGAGTCCCCGGGACGGCCTCCGGCCGCCTCGGCGCCCGCCCTCGGGCCCGTGGCCGCTGTCCAGGAGCCCCTCTCTCCCCTGCAGGTAGGTCCGAGGCTGTCGTAGCGGGTGGGGCGCACTCTCTTCTCCCGAGCCGGAGTTGGCGGGGCGGTGGCCGCCGGGGCCCACGCCCATCCCCGCTGGCGGGGGTCCAGGGGCTGCTACGGACTGGCGGGCCGGGTCGGCCCGGTGCGGGCCCCACTTGGCTGGTTGCACGGACCTGAGCGGAGCCCTGCCCTGGGGAAGCGAGGGTTGGCCGCGTCCGGGGCTGGAGGAAGAGCCCCGGGCTTTGCGGCCTTGGAGGTTCAGGTTGGGCTAGGAAGAGCCGGTGTCGCCGGAGGCCGTGCGCGGACTCCCTCGCACCTCCACCCTTATCCCCAACACGCACGGGTCAGCGGTGTTCAGGAACGAGGGAAAAGCGAAAGGTGGGAAAAGCGAAAGGTAGTTCTGAAGGAAATTCGCAGTAACAGAGACGCAGTTCTTTCATCCCAGAGGGACCCGATGCTGGATATACCTTGAAGAAATTCTCGGAATTTCTACCTACAGTCCACTGTAAATAGGGTACTGTTCATAGCTGGAAGGGGTAGGAGAGATGGAGGGATCTCTGTGGAGTAGGCATGTGTATGTAAATACAGAAAAAGAAGGAAAGGAAATTAAGGGAACATTGTTTATTATAACTTCAAAAAGAATTTGTATCACAAAGAATGACTCTCAGGTGACTTGATTTAACCCCATTCTCCAATTGAAAGTTCTTTTCTAAGGGAAGAAAATTTAATGTCTGTTGACCCATGTGTTAATATTACTCAAAATATATCGTCATGTAGAAGTTATTCATAAATCTAGTGAGAAATAAGTATAATCTCGCACAAATAATATTGTTTCACTCCGGTTAGGGAAATGAATTTGAATCATGTGAAGCTTGTCCGGCCTTTATGGATTATATATTGAGGATTAAGAATTTTTTATCAAATTTCCTCCATGTGGAAGAAACGGTAGGACATTATAATTGGAATGAATGTTCTCTGCTAAGGTGTCTACGTTTGTGATTTAACTCAGGTTATTTCTGTAATAAGTTGACAGACAGGTAAAATGAGCTAGTTGATTCCCTAAGGCAGTGGAGGAATTTGACTGATTTAACAGTAAAAGAAGTAGCATTGTGTTCCTCTGATCGGCTGCTCCTGCAAGAAACTAGATCATGGTACACGCCAGGGAAGGCGCATTTTTTTCTACGCCTGAATATTTATTGAATATGACTTGCCACTCTTCAAAAGCAAATAATAAAATACTTCTGCTACATATTTTTGATATCATGTGTGGATATCCTTCTGTAGGTTGAGTTTTTGTTTTTGTTTTTAATGCTTCTCCTTGTTACTCTACGTAAATGTAGTCTAGGAACAGTTTCAGCTCTGGTTATTTAGTTTTTGTTCTAGATGTTATATTTACATTAGTGGGGGATTTTTGTAGACCGCAAAAGTTATTTAGTCATTGATCAACATTTTTATCAAGTAGAAATGGCAGTCATTTTTCAGCATGAAGATAAAATATGGTGATTGTTTTCACTTTTGATAAGTTAATTCTTAGAAACTGAATTGGAGATGTCATCAGTATGCAGAGATTCTTGAATATTGCTGTATGAACAACTAAGACTATGGTGCTAAGACAGTACATATTACTGTTGCTATTCTCATGACTGATTTAGTCAAACTTTGAGACAGGCCATCTTTCTTAAAAACCTAATTCAGGGCTTCCCTGGTGGCGCAGTGGTTGAGAGTCCGCCTGCCGATGCAGGGGACACAGGTTTGTGCCCCGGTCCGGGAAGATCCTACATGCCGTGGAGCGGCTGGGCCTGTGAGCCATGGCCGCTAAGCCTGGGCGCCCAGAGCCTGTGCTCCACAACGGGAGAGGCCACAGCAGTGAGAGGCCCGCGTACCGCCCAAAAAAAAAAAAAAAACCTGATTCAACCTAAGGTAACACTTTGAAATCTTCTATCGTAATGGGATCTATTCTTCTTCTAAGCTGGACAGTGATATTTGTTTGGACTCACATTTTCACATTTGATGACGGTCTGAACTTTCTAAGAAATGGAGATTTTGTCTTTTCAGTCTAACCAGTTTAAGTATCTCTTCAAAGAATGTGAGTAGTTATAATCCCTTAGGAAAACTCAAGATGTAGGTATGGTAAAAAGAGCCCTGGGCTGGTTCAGGATGTGTCAAGTCCATTCCTAGCATGATGCTGAGATGGCTAAATGATCTTAGGCAGGCCACATTACCTCTCTGGATCCCTTTGCTCATCTGAAATTATAAATATATATATGTAGATATATAGGTAGATATACATATATAGAGATAGATAGATATACGTATCAGTCTATCTGTTTATATCTATATATCCCCAAGACACCTATGCTCTGTCAATCTGTGATCTAGTAGGAAAAATAAGTTTTATTTGACTGTGCAAAGTGCATTTGGAGTTCAGAGGAGGTTGACAGCTACCAGTTCAATGAAAACTTCAGGAAGGAAGCATTTGAATGGGACCTTCAAGGTTGGGTATAATTTCTACAAGAAGAAATATGGCAGAGGGGCTCTTCCAAGAGTAGTGAACAGGAAGAGTAAGAACATGAAAGTAGAGAAGCACAAAGTACATTAGCTGAGAGCAGGTAATTTGGCTTGGTTAGAATCTGGGTAAGATAGTGGAAAGAGTAAGAAGATAATAACTAACATTTATTGAGTCGGGCACTTATTCTAAACATTTGACATGCATTAAACTTATTTAATGCTTAAAATAACCCTATTTAAATAGGACTATTATTGCGCACATTTGAAGATGAAGGAACTGAGGCACAGCTTGCTGAGATCACAAAGCTATTGTAGTTACTGGTAGAACTGGGATTTGTACCCAGATCTCTGACCTTAACTAAGTTAAAGGAATCATTGAGGGTTCTGGAGTAGGGAGGTAACATGATCAGAACTATGTATTAGGAAGACTCATCTGGCACCAGTGTAGCATGGGTTAAAGAGCTAAGCTGTTTAGTGTTGAAGTGTTCTTCTAAAAATTCTCTTTACTTATTAGAGTTTTCACATATCAGTTTCACGTTTGTTAATGCCAGTGTCAACCATACCTTGTTGGAGGGATTGTCAATTAGTATACCTTTCTGGAAGACAACCTGACAATAAGTATCAGAATTTTAAATATGCATTCTCTTTGACCCAGCAATTCCACTTCTCGGAATTTATCTTAAGGGAAATGCTCAATAATGGGTGCACAAGAATTTTTTTTAATGGATTATTTAAATGGTTACAACTCTGTAAATATACTAAAAACCATTGAATTATACACTTTATTATTTAGTCAGTTAGTTATTTTTGGCTATACCACCGTGCAGTATGCAGGATCTTAGTTCCCTCACCAGGGATTGAACCCGTGCCGCCTGTAGTGGAAATCCCAGCACAAGAATTTTTATTGCCACAGTTTTTATTAACTAATTTTTATATGTAGAAGGAATATGTGTATACATGTAAGCTATGAAGCATAGTAAAATGAACATCCATGAACTTACCACCCATCCTCAGAACTAGAATATTACCAATACAATTGAAGTTATCACTGTTTAAAACATTATTTATAATAGCAAAAATTGGAAATAACCTAAAGGACCATCAGTAGGGGATAGATAAGTTATGATACGTCTACATGATGTAATTCAATGTATAGTTATTTTAAAAAGATGAGGTTGAATTGTCATATTTCCTCAGTTCCAGGACACCATTAAGTCTAAAACAAGCAATCTGTTTAGTAACAATTTTTCAGGGGAAAGAAAATAAGCATGGTTGTTTTTTTTTTTGGTACGCGGGCCTCTCACTGTTGTGGCCTCTCCCATTGCGGAGCACAGGCTCCGGACGCGCAGGCTCAGTGGCCATGGCTCACGGGCCCAGCCGCTCCGCGGCATGTGGGATCTTCCCAGACTGGGGCACGAACCCGTGTTCCCTGCATCAGCAGGCGGACTCTCAACCACTGCGCCACCAGGGAAGCCCAAGCATGGTTTTTAACTAACCTTCAATAGAACACATTTATCCATTCAATTGTATACCATTCAGTTTTTTTGAGTCTTAGCTTTATTCACATTCAGAATCTAGAATTCTTCTGATTTACTTTGGGCTTTGGTTAGTTAACAGATAGCATCATGGTGGCGTGCTGCTTTTCATAACCCCAGTTAATTATCGTGAACCTCTTTATTGACTTTATGATTGAGTATATGATTTTGAGGCATGTCAAAGAATACTGGAGTTTTGTCTTCCTTTCCTTTTGCTTAAACTCTTAGTTTTGTTTTTTTCTCCTGAGTTGAGTGAGTTATTGTTAGAAATTAAACAGCTTCCTCTGAAGGTAACTCAAAAGGGTTGACAGGTATTTGAGTGCTTGTACTTCATAAAAGACTTTTACCTTTGAAAATTCAGTGATCTCACCTAAATTTGGCAGTTGTTTATGCCTTTAATTGCATTGTCTTTTTTTTTTTTTTTTTTGGCTGCATTGGGTCTTTGTTGCTGAGCGCAAGCTTTCTCTAGTTGTGGCGAGTGAGAGTTACTTTTCGTTGTGGTGCGCAGGCTTCTCATTGCGGTGGCTTCTCTTGTTGTGGAGCATGGGCTCTAGGCATGCGGCCTCAGGAGTTGTGGCTTGCGGGCTTACTTGCTCCGCGGCATGTGAGATCCTGGACCAGGGATCAAACCCATGTCCCCTGCGCTGGGAGGTGGATTCCTAACCACTGTGCCACCAGGGAAGTCCTGCATTGTCTATTATATGACAATTTCTGAGTACATAATGCTGCATTATAGTGGAATCTTTTTGAAGACATTTTGAGCATTAATCAAGGGTCTAGATTCAACCATGTGGCGCTGCCAGTGAAAATAATACAATTGAAGTGACAAGAAAATTTGGCCTTTTATTTATGGTCAGGTTAGCTATGTGTGTTGTCTGCTATTCCAGAACTCCACTTTGGAGCTGGCAAATTCCTTTTAATACTGATTTTAAGATATACTCAGTTTTAGAAATGTTAAAATGTGGAAAAGCATGTATCTGAGAATCAAGAAGACACTATACTTTATGTCCTAGGAAGAGATTCATAGTATTATGTTATTCTTTTGCTAGCATGTTGGGCCCTAATCAGCAGTAGCTAGATTCATAGGTCCTGTGGTCCATATGTCCAGTACTCTCTTCATCAGGTCCGGATATAGCTCCTCTTGGCCCAGAGACCTTTGAAGTTATCTTCGCTCTCTTGTCTCCCACTCACTCACCACATTACACAATAGTAAAACAGAGACAGG